GCGGAAGCAGAGATAGAGCGCCTGAAAGGGCTGGGCTATGCCATCGCGGTCCGGAAGGAGGAGGTGGAAGCAGCGGGCTTCGAAGGGGTCACCATTTCGAAGCTGGGGCTGATCGTTAAGACGAAGGAGGACGGGTCCAAGAAAAGGCGGATCATCATTGACCTGCGCAGGTCCGGAGGCAACAGCAAGGCACTCCTACCGGAACGGCTGGTACTGCCCAGGCCCATGGACGCGGTGCTGATGCTGAAGAAGTTGCACTTGCTGCACGCGGAGGAGAAGGAAGCGCACCGACGAACCATGGAATTGGTGATGGTGGACATCTCAGATGCGTACATGCACCTAGCCATCAAGGAGTCCGAGAAGGGGCATTGCTTGGCACCAGCACTGGATGATGATCGCTGGCTACTGTTCGTGGCACTATTGTTTGGCTACAAGACGGCGCCCCTGACGTGGAGCAGGGTGGCGGCGATGGTAGCGAGGCTAGTGCAGTCCATCATACCGGCGGAGAAGGGCATGCATCAGGTGTACCTGGATGACAGCCTGTGGGCACTATGCGGGACGCTGAATGAACGCAACCGCATCCTGTCGTGCATCCTCACCACGATGGCAGCGCTGGGATTGAAACTGTCACTGAGCAAGGGAGAACGCGGGGCGGCCGTGCCGTGGGTTGGGATCAGGTTCAAGCTGGTGGCACCAGGGGGTGGCCGAGACACTGGCCATTCTAGTGGCCCTCAAACACTGGGGGCGACTACTGGCGGCGGTGAACGTCGAGGTCACGGTCCAATCAGATTCCGTGACAGCACTGGCTTTGACGCAGAAATTCTCCAACAGCGGACCTGCCCTGAATTTCTTGGGGGCGGAACTGGCCGTGATATGTGAAGCCTTAGGTTTGGCCGACCTACGACCAGTCCATCTACCAGGCGCAGCCAACAAGGAGGCTGATTTCCTCTCCAGGCCTGACACTTGGGCCCAAGTCACCTTACCAGCTGCCCTAGAAGGGATTCAGATCGAAACGCCAGCGGAGCGGACGACCAGCTGGTACAGATTGCCGACTCCGGGACCGGACACCACTGAGTGGCAAGAGTCCGACGCCCTGTTGGCAGCCTGGACGCATCGATCCTGAACTTGGATCCGGCGCAGAAAAGGTGAGGAGGAGGTGAGGACTTAAGTCACGGGCAGGTCGGGGTTGGTCGACTTTTCGGATACGTTTCGGCGAGGTCGTTTGCGTTTTTCGGGGGGAGACGGTCATGACGGGGGGAAAACCGAGTTTTCGGGTTCAAAGATGGAGCTGACGGTCCCGCACACTTTGCCGGCGGCTCCCGGGGTGACGACCGCCGAGTCCTTTCCATGGAAGGTTTACTTGCTTTTCTACCTCGTCGCAACAGGCACCCTAGCCAACCTGGCCTTCGGCATATGGGCACTACACCAATTCGCCCGAGTATGGCACCGACTTCGTCCGCGGTGGACACCAAAGACGGCAGGAGAGGCGGAGGAGTCGGACCAGGAGGACCTTCCGGAATGGGACGCTATAGGAGAAGCCTGGAACATGGACACAGGCGGGGGCGTGGGCAGAGTGGACGACACACCACCGAGGGAGACGGGCCTCAGACATCGGACGGGGAGGGAATTCGAACATCGAGCTCAACCGGTGGCGTGGAGACAATTTCTGGACTACATGACCCCAGAGATGCAAAGGAACCATGGGACTACGAGGCCAACTTCAGCGGTTTCAACACTACTGGATTCACCTGCCTCCCTGAGATCGCCCGGGTCGAGGGAGATGACCTCATCGAGGAACGACTCACCACCTTTGAGGGAATCGGTGAGGGAGACGGAGGGCATGTCCTGGCTAGTGACCCGGAGGTTGAATTCGAAAGATTCATGGCAACTATGATGGAAGCAGGTGAAGAGGGAAACTTGCAGGAAGAGACCATGGGCCAGAGACATCGTATGAGGAAGACCAGAAGGACCCTGGATGAAGTGGTATTCCCTCCATTGCCTCCAGTACCTCGATGTGATGAAGGCGAGCAAGCAGAAGGCCTGCTGAGTTTTGTGAAAAGGAGGAACAAAGGAGGAGAACAGATCAAGAAAGAATCAAAGGTGAGGATAGCGATGGAGTCGAGGCAACAACAACATCGGGGAGTACCGCATCGGCACGAAGGAAAAGCGTGGATGAGGAAGAGGAGATGTGATCTGCCCGAGGCCCCCAGAGAGCTTCGAGAAGACGACACCGAACCCAAATGGAGGCGGGCACTACAGACAGCACGGCTCTTTCGGGCAAACAAGAATCGCAAGACCCACACCGTGGAGAAACTGAAGAGGGGCTACTACGCAAATTCGTCAAGACGAGCGAAGATGTCGGTGAGGAAGACAGTCGAGAACACCCTGCAGAACTTGGGGGTGCGAGAGAAGGACTCATGCTGGTCCACGGAAACGTTGGAACAGATTGGCGCGGTGCTGAAGGAGTCGAACTACAAAGCCGGAGTGACCTACTTGTCAGAATATAAGCAGCTGCTGATCGAGAACGGAACGATGTGGTCCCATCAACTACAGAAGACCTACGGACAAGTGGCAAGGGCATTAAAAAGAGCAAAGGGCCCTACGAAGAAAGCAGCTGAGGTGGGTGAACTCACGTGGATGGTGGCTATGAAGAAGGAGATCAACGAGGAGGCGAAGGGCATAGTGCACAACCCCGCGCTGTTGTTTGCTTTTGCTACGATGTGGATGTTGAGGGAGGTGGAATTGGCGGCAATTCACAAGGGGGACATCCAGATCGACGCGAAGGAAAGGATTGTGGCCTTGACATTGAGGGTGGCGAAGAAAGACCAGGAGTGCTTGGGGATGAAGAGGACGCTGCAATGCTGTTGCAGAGGGGAGTGTGACTGGTCGGAACCCTGCCCATATAGGATTACATGTGCTGCTCTGGACGCGGTGCCAATCGAGGAGGAGAAGCTGGTGCATGGGGACCTCGTGGAACCAGTCTCCAAGTCGCAGATCATCACAGCCTGGAGGAACCTGTTCGGAAAGCAAGTGACAGGCCACTCTGGCAGGCGCTCCGGAGCACTCCAGTACATCCGAAGAGGGTGGCAAGTGCCCCAGGTGGGTTACCTGGGGCGATGGAAGTCCAACGTTATCCTGCAGTATGCGGAGGAAGCGTTGGAGACGATGCCGGTGATGACCAACCCACACAAGAAACTGAAGGGAGGAGGAGAAGCATCACCCAAGCCAAAGGAGACAGAGACGGCCACGACTGAGTCCAAGGAATGGACAAAGATCAGGGAGACAGAGCACCAACTGAGAAAGGAGATCACCCACCTGAAGGTCGCGCAGGAGAAGTTGGAGGAGTCGATGGAAAGGTGGGAGACGATCTCGAAACGGCATCACGGCCTACTACCACCGGCAGTGATCTCCAAGATGGGGGTGATACATGCCAACAAGAAACAGCCGGTTGCATCGCCAGTGCTCTCGTGGCACACAAGGTGTGGCTGGTTCTTTGGCTGCTCCGTCTTCAGCTTCGCCATGGACGACTCGAAGATCACGTGCTTGAAATGCTCCACCCTCGCGCAGAGCACAGAGGAGGCAACAAGCAAGGGTGGAGCTTAAATGGAAAGCTCGACTTCTACCAGCGATTTGAAAAGATGTGTGAATGAATTGGGTGGTAGAGTGCTGAGCTTGTCGCATGGGAAAGCATCCGTCCTTTCCAACCGACATGCAAAGTTTTTTGATCCGTCAGGTTGAGCCTCATCTTAGCAGAACCATCCTTGCGAGAGCGTGCGGCCACAGGCGGAGGGAGAGACCACTTGAATGCGATCAGTGTTCCCATCAGCTTTCCATACATTTTCATGTGTGCAACATGCAGCCATATTCAGGGATTTATGGCGGCATGCAGCGGCCTCGGGAATGAAAAGGGTCCCTGACCTCAACCCAAGATGTTTCGCTCCGTTTGTAGGTTGCCTTCATGGTGGACTGCTGAAGATCAAAGAAAGCATGCTTGAGCTGCTTGGGTCCTTTCATTTTGCATCATGCCCTTGGAAATCAATTCCATTTGCTTTGTTGCGACAAGGATAAATAGACCCGGGATTCAGTGTCATTTGATTTCACCATGGGCAAAGAGCCCTTGTTAATGCTTTTAGGGCCGGCTAAAAGCCACAGCTGAAGCTAAGAAGCCAAGCTTTTGCCCTCTTCCCTATGAAGCTGCAACCTAGGGATGCCCAAGACCATCTGACACTTTGGGCGGCACAATGCCGAGAGGTGACCAGTGACAGATGTGTAAAGATGAGTCAGGGCAAGTCTTGCGCTCGCATGAAACATAGAGCAGATTCTGCTTCTGACTCTCCCCAGCGTGCAGGGTTGGGCCGCACTTTCAAGACCTTGAGATACTATTATATAAAGATTTGGAAAACTTGCTGTTTTTGGCTTTGCTCAAGGTATTCTTGGAGTTTGTCAGCAGTAGACATCTTTATTCTTTACCGCTTGTGATGTTTATTGCTGTACATGCCGGTCAAGCAAGGTAGGAATCCTCGAACTTGACGGCGGTGTCTCGTCTCATCCCTCCTTCATTGAGACACTTCGAAGAAGCTAGCAGAGGATGGTAGACGGCAAAAGCTCACTTGGTGATAGCTGGATTTGCTTCAGCTTTTCTTAGGCTATAGGTTGAAGCTTCTCCCCTCGACATTCTAGCAAGTAGGTCAATCTCCGATCCCGAAACCACCGATCGCAACAGCGATGATCCTGCGTGGCCTGCCACGTTTTCGTGCGCAGACCTCATGGTCTCGGGTAGCGAGTCGAACGTCTCGCAGAGCACGTGCTTCTCGGACTATTGGGATCAAGTCCGGAACATGGTCGTTGCATGTCGTTGCTACAAATGTAGTTTCAATCGTCTTTCTTTGTGGCCTTCATGACCTCCATCCTTCGTTCCGTCTGAGGTTGGCACGGCTCCGGTCGCCACATCTCGATGGTTCGAGTCCATGTGCTTCGCGGCAGGCCTTGGCATGGCTGGCATGGCAGGGTCATCTCGTCTCAGCTGTGAGGATCCAAAGATGCGACGAGTGAACGTGGCGCGTGCGGCCGACTTCGCGGATGGGGATTTGCGTCAGGTTCGAATCGTTGGGACCATGGATGGAGCTGGTGATGGAGCGATCATGCTCGCCTTCATCGATGGTCAGTTCTATGCAACTGGCGCGTCTTGTAGTCACTACAGTGCCCCTTTGGCAGAGGGTGTAGCTGCTAAGGACAAAATGCATGTAGTTTGCCCGTGGCATAATGCTGCGTTTGACATCCGAACTGGGCAACCAGTGAGGGGATCTGGACTGGAAGCGATTCCTACGTACCAGGTTTCTGTGGAAGATGGTAATGTCATTGTTCAGGTGCCATATGTCATGGATGACTTTGTGGCACCCGCCATGTCTCAACGAGATCCTGCTGATGAACGCGTGTTCGTCGTCTTAGGGGGTGGCGCTGCAGGTGTGGCTGCAGCTGACGCGTTGCGACAAGAGGGATACAAAGGTCGTATTCTGCTGATCACGGAAGAGAAGCATTTGCCCTATGACCGCCCGGTGCTTTCAAAGAATCTGGGCAAGGCCTATGACCCTGCATCCTTGAGCTTAAGAGACGAAGCATATTTCAAGAAGCATGAGATTGAAGTGAAATGCGCGGCCAGGGTCAAGAAACTTGACGCTGGACAAAAGACTGTCCATTTGGAAGGTGAGGTCTTGAAGTATGACGCAGCCTTGGTGGCGACAGGAGCAAAGCCTCGACCTTTGCCCATCAATGGTTTTGATCTGCCTGGAGTTCTGGCTTTGCGAACTCCTGAAGATGCTCAACAAATTGCCGCGGCCTGTCAACCAGGCAAGAAGGTGGCATCTCGGCAGCATTTGCAAAACTGGATTGGGACGCCCTTGTGCTACTGAAGGTGCAAGGTCTCATTGCGAGAGGGATCAGCGTCTTCCGCTCCCACTCTACCCGCAAATGAGTCTAACATAGCTTTAACAAAATTAGCTAATGATTACACTGCAAAGCAGACAACATTTATAACTTCAGTTTGACTAATGATGTCAGTCAAACGTTGTTTAATATTCATATTATGTTGCATTTGTGTACCACAAATATTTTAACTGTGCTATAACTTTGTACTTGAACATTTATCACTGACAATCAGCTCAGATCCCGCGATCCCTCCAGCCCATTTGGGATTTTTTGCATTTTTCCTCGTGTTTTGCCGAATGATCGACAACTATATATGTATATATATATAATATATATATATATATATATACACATACATTTTCGGAACTTCCGGTTTCAAACACAATTTAGTTTGCGCCGGACATGAGTTTACTTGCGTGGACCTACTATTACTATGCCCACTGCTACGTGCCCGGATCACCGCGTGCGCCCAAAGCGCCCCGCTCGCACTCCTTGCGCGCGCTGTGCCCCAGAAGTCGAAGGCTGTAGCGGCACGAACGGCGCAAGCGGCAAACACATGTCCAGACACGCTTACCGCAATGTATTGGCTTTGTGAGCTAGTTTTTAGGTTGGCCCCAAGATCTAATGTTGGCCGCTGATTAATAAACGGGGGTGGCACATCTTGAAGTTTTGGTTTACCCCAAATAAAGTTCATCCCAGGCTCCAAGAAAGAATTTAGATTAGACATGAAATGAACCCTTTTTATTGATTTTGATTGTTATTGTTATTAATATTTACACAGGTTGGAGAATGTGCTAACTGTATTTAGGGTGGGTTTACAAGTCGGGGCGGGCCAGTTCACACAACCTTGAATCTGCGATCCCGAGGCTGTGCTTGGCTCATCCTTTATTGGTGGCTTTGTTGCAAGAGATGTAAACGTCCAAAGGTTGTTAAGACTACAATATATTCCTGTGAGGAACATGTTTTGAACGGTTTTTGCTAAGTGTTTCTTGCTGCGTTGGTTCGAGACGTCCAAGGCATGGAGCTGGCCAGCACCTTGCGTCGCAGGGGTTGCGACGTCGTGGTGCTGGGCATGGAACAGGCGCCCCGTGATGAAGTCCGTTACTGGGGTCAAGACCTTTTGGGTGGAAATGGTTTTGCGGAAAGAGGTTCGTTAGTTGATGGAGGTTTGTGCATAGGGTTCGTGGACTGATGAATAGTTTGAATGCTCCAGTGGGCGAACTCTATGGATACTGACACGATGGACATGTAGTTCGCTGGTTTACAAGGCACTTGCGCCTTTTTCACTTGCAAGGATGCGTGCGTTTGTCTAGTTTATGCGAATCTCAATACCTGTGAGAAGAAATCATGAACTCTCAAGATCCTTTACAATGCGTGTGGCGAGCTGTTAACCAATCCAAGAACCCATGCGAAGAGCTTGAGGAGTGTCAAGAACTACTGCCCCGGTGGGTCCTGGCATACTCAAGGATACTGTTGATGGAAGGGTGGCCAAACAAGCTCGCAACTTCAGGCTTGTTGAGCATCTCGCAAGTCAAGAGGCAATACGTTAGGTCAATCCACTTCATCCAATGCTAGAAAGCCAGACCGGAGAAACACCACATTTCAAAGTCAGTGTCATCTTGGATTCGCTGGCAGTGGCCGTGCACATTTATCAAATTTACGAGCTAATTAGAAGTGCAACCCTGCTTTTTGTGAACGGTCTTAAAAAGACGGGTCTGAAGATCCAAAGAAATTACAAGGTGCCCTTTGAGCGCGTGCTGGGCAACCGCTTGGGAGAAGCTCTGAAGGTCGCGGAGAAGTGCGGGAAGACATCTTTGCTTTTCCTTTCTTTGCTTTTCCTTTCTTTGGAGGGGAAAGGCTGCAACTGGAAGCTATACTTTACTTAGTAGTACTTAGTAGCTTAAGCTAGCAGCTAGTAGCTTCTTCATAGCCAGCAAAGGACGCAGAAGAACCTTTTCATGATTGGAACTTAAGGTCTGGGAAGCACTTCATGCCACCTCCAGGGTGAGGCTGCTTACGAAGTGCTTCCTGTTACCTATCTACTGTGCTTCCTCTAGGGAAAGTTCTTCCTCTCGTGTTAAAATTCTTTTCATTGTACCTTGCCTGTGGCGAAACATGTCGATTTGGTGGGTAAGGCCTTCTTGTCAGGCCTTCTTTGAGACCAAGGGCGTGAAATTCTTCGGCGGCAAGACCGCTTTGGAGATTAAGAAGAGTGGATCATCTCTGCAGGCAGTGCTCCAATCCGGCGAGGTTATATCCTGCGATTCGATTGTGGTGGGTGTTGGAGTCATCCCTAATGCGAAGTTTGTCCAGGGTGCAGAGAAGGCTCCTGATGGCTCTTTGGTGACTGACCAGTTCTTGAAAGTCTCAGGTGTTGAAGATCTTTTTGCAGCAGGAGATGTGGCGAGCTATCCAGATACGTGTGGGGATCGAGCTGGCTTGATGAGGGTCGAACATTGGGATGTTGCGACCAGCCAGGGTCGATTTGCAGCCAAGAACATGGTGGGGAAACAGGAGCGCTTTGACCAGACCCCCTTTTTCTGGACATCCCTGTTTGGGAAGAATCTCCGATATGTGGGTCATTGCAAAGAGTTCGACGAGCTTTTGGTGGATGGTGATCTACAAAAGCTAAACTTTGTAGCCTACTACTGTCAGAAGAATGAAGTGAAGGCGGTAGCCACGATGTCTCGTGATCCGGTAGCTGTGGTGGTGGGAGAGCTCATGCGCATGGGCAAGATGCCAAGTGTCGCTGATTTGAAGTCTGGCAAGGCCTCAACGGCAGGGCTGGCAGCTCAACTAAAGCAGAGCTGCTGATGATGCTGTTAGCACTGTTTTGCTTTGCTTGGTTTGGTCTTGTGACAGTTGGGTGGGAGTTCAATGCATGTTGTTTTAAGCCCTCATTCTCCTCCGTGTCTTAGGTTCCTAAGCTCTGATACTGCCAGCTCCTGCCCTGCCCAAGATCATCCATCGATTCAAAAGAAAAACCACATGCGGTCCTGGTCTTCCTGTTGGCCTGTTGGTCCTTCCTGTCGGATTACTGGCAGCTGGCACGCTTCTCTACATTTTGTGCATGAAGCTGTCAGAGGGTCAAACTTGGGATTAACACTGAGATAAACACTCAGAACGAGTCTCGAAGTAGAGAGGCATAACCTCCTTTTTGTGCTTCTTGAATTGGGAGACAATACCTGGTCTAGAGCATTACTGTTGCACAGGTGTCTTCTGCAGTCCCAGTCGTGGCCCGAGTCCGAGTCATTCCCCAAGTCATGGCCATGTCGGGAAACGTCTCGGTCATTCCCGAGAGCCGTCTCTTCGCGAGTGAACCTGATCCTCGATGGTTTGGAAACCCTCGCAATCCAGCTGATGTGAAAGCACAGGGGTGGACCAATGAGAACTGGCTGAAGTCCAGGTTTCACTTCAACTTCGCCGAGTACAGCGAGGGCCCCAGCAGTTTCGGGGTGCTTCGGGTGATGAACGACGACTTGGTGCAGGGAGAGAGGGGTTTTGGTGAACATCCTCACAGGGATATGGAGATCATGACCTTCATCGTAGATGGCTACTTGACCCATAAGGACTCCATGGGCACCGAGGAGACCTTGGGCCGGGGCAGCGTGCAGTTCATGACCGCCGGCACCGGGATTTACCACTCGGAGCACAACCTTTCGAAGGAGCTGGATGGGTTTTTGCATGGAGGTCATGTGGCTATTAGGTTGGGATTCCGGTTGTGCAAAGTCGCATCCCGTTGGAGACTTTTTTGGGGACTCGCTGATCCGAATCAAATCCATGGGAATCAAGGTCATCATCTGGGTGGTTCTCGAATTATATGATTAACTGATCCCAAATGGCGTCCCCAGTCATTGTTGAATCCATTTTGACGTGTATTCTTTGATGTTTTATTGTTGGTGGATCGGCAAACAGGTTGAACTCTCCCTGTGCCAGGAGCCCCTGCGCTTCATCCAGTGTTGGGTCGTCCCGCGGTCTCGAGGCTTAAAGCCCCACTACGGCTCCGCGGCGGGGAACGAAGAGCTGACGGGGGCACGAAGGGATCAGTGGTGCCACTTGGTGTCCGATGTCATGGGATCCATGACGACGCCGGTGAAGATCAATCAAGATTGCAATGTCTTTGTGACGGAACTCTCAGCGGGCGTGGCATCGAAAGCCTTGGCCATTGGGAAGGATCGGCAAGCTTACTTGCTTTGCATGGAAGGAGAGATCAAGCTTGCTGGACAGGATTTGCAAAGGCATGACGCAGCTGAAATCAAGGGGCCTTTTGAGCTTGAAGTCTTGTCCGGAAAATCAGGAGCATACTTGCTGGTCTTTGAGATGGCACTGACTCGAGATGCACGTCGTGGCAGATGACCGGTTTTCTGTCGTTCTTGGCCATTTTTGGTGCTGAATCCTGGATACAAGATGGATTGAGCGCACTTCAAATTGGAGAGGCTCCGTCCTGGAAATATGATGGAAGAGCCAATTTGAGAAGGCAATCTCGGAGCCCATTTGGTGGTTCTGGATGCTTTTGTACAGACCTTTTTACTTGGATTGGTCAAAGGAAAAGGTCGACCCTCCTTCCTGTAGTTGCCTGAGCTCGTTCGTGACATTGACATTCGCCAGAAGGCAGTAGAAGGCAGTTGTTGACTACAAAATAGAATGGCTCTGCCTGCTGTGTAAAGGGCTGGGAATGGAACAGAATAGCGTTTGTTTTCCTTTGGCTCAAAAGCTGCCATCATGATTGGCCATACCTACAGAGTCCTGAGCCCAGCCAGCAGTGAAAAAATCGTCTTCTCAGAACAGTGCCACCTATTGTGACGTATCAAAAAGAACCGGTGGGTTCAGCAGCTTCGTGACCCACCACGTCTTCCTTGGTTTTGCCACACATCACATCGAAGGTGTTGGATCTCCCGAGCCCCATCAACTGCCGCGTTTTTCGCCGAGGCTCCACATGCCGCTCATCGCCGCCAGGCCGGGTTCGTCCCCCGGAAAGACCGGGGGTCCCCGGAAGACTTCAAAGGACTCGGAAGAGACTCGCCAAGTCGACGCTGGGATTTCTGCGAGGCACTTGATAAAATCGTACATGACACGCAGAGCGGTGTGACATGTGTAGAGACATAAGAGACATCAACGGAGAGTTGAGAACCATGGTTTCTCACCACTCTGATTGAGTGCCCGGGAAGAGATTTGGTCTTGCTTCAAAGAGTACACACGAGGGTATCGCAGATGAGTAAAATGGTTGGTGACGTTTTGTATCGGTGACATCCACTTTTGAACCGTGCAATTGGCAGAATGGCCGACCTCCTAGTATGCGTCCAAAGGCGAGCCATGAGCAAATCTTGGAGAGAGCCGGTGACTCAGCCACTGGCAAGAGAGTTTTGGTCCTCCCTGAGAGCTTGACCTTTGCTGATGTATATATTGGATGCCAAGATCCATGGAAACCTCTATAGCATTGTCGGCGAGGCGCGAGTACTCTCAGCTAGGATCATTGGCGCGCCACGGAGCAAGTAGGAACAACTCGAAACCTGTTTTCTTTTTCAACGTTTGATCGCACTGGTGACGAGCAGCCTAAAAGCCCAGGGTTGGGTGGGATGATCTCTACTTAGTTTATATGTAATGCAGTCATGGACCATTGTAGAATCCAATAAATAGCACACATGACAATCCAATAGCTACACAGTGCTTTTTGTGTCAAAGGCAGTGGATGAGATCAAGCTGGAGGAACAGAAATGGAGCAAACCAGTACCGTTGCTGAGAGAGCAGGGTTGATCAGTACTTGAGCAACTTCCATGCGAACCAACTTGCTTGGGATCGGCGGCTACTTTGGTATTTGATCGGCTCTCTAAGGAAATGGTCAAGAGAATCGTAGGCTACATCTTCAAGGCTGCCAAGGCGGATCACTTGCAGATGGTCGTGAGTGAGGAGTACCTGTTTCGAAGAAGGAAGGACCTTCAAATGTGTCGCATTCAAGGTTACAGTTTACACAGATTGTGAAATGCAGAGACGCAGACTACACACATATCTACAAATCAATGATCAGGAACGATAGGAACAGTCGGTCATTTGCGGAGGCCCCTGAATTTCTTCAGAAGCAATGGCAGGAGGCTGGAATTGGTGTGTTTCGCTTGGAAGCGAAAGGACCCGACCGTGGACAGACCAACAACACACACGAGATATATATCCGGAAATCGGAAAAAGGCCTGCGACTCACTGTCCGACTCACTGACCGACTCACACCAGTGCTTAAAACAATTTGCATCACTTCATCATTTCATGCTGCCCCGGCGTTCTGCAGCCAGAAACTGCATCCGTGCGCCGTGCGCCACAGTGAGTGTTGCTTTAGACTGGCTTCTGTGGCTGGCTGGCCACCGCATTCATTCACTCTCGCTCCCTCACCCGAGCGCCTTCACCTTGCGCTCGTTTTCTCGGCACCTTTCTCGGCACCGGCGTTCCGAACCCCCCTTCGGAGGGTCGAATTGGAAGGAACTGCTTCGAATAAAGGAGTAATGGACCCGCCAACCGGTCGGTGCACAACGGAAGACCTCGCTTTTGGAGGTGTCGAAGACGTTGGTCCACAATGCCATGGGCAGTTACATGGCAGCGTGTGGGGAGAAGCCTTGGTTCTACCAGGTTCGGCCCGACTTGGCAATCAAATAAGGAATGTTACGTCGCCATTAGGTTGGAGGCCATCGCTACTAGGTTGGAGGCCATCGCTATTACTGTATATAGGTTGGAGGCTTTCTTGTTCATTATCTTTGGGCATTGTTTTGGTTGTGCGGAGTGGTGCGCCTGGCTGACCTTGTCAATGGTGAACCAGAAGTTCTAGATTGCCGATAGAACAAAAGTTCTGTACTTGCCAGTTTGGACTCTCTTGAAACAGCAGAATGATTGCTTTTACCACCTGAATAGTTGGGAGTGACCCAGTGACCGGCCCGCTGTGATGACATACGGAGATGGGTCAAAACTTGGAGCTTTCGTCCACCATGTAGCGAACGACCGACGTCGGTAGGTTAATCAAGGTATCCTGGTTTTGACCCACAGCCATATCTTCAGTCTGTCCGAGATTTGGCTTCTCTTTTGCATTTCTATGGGCTTTGCCAACCGACTCCAGCTGGGCCTTGGCAATGCCTTCACTTCCGCCGTTTGGGAACTAGTACAAGCGCCAGGACCCAAGAGCAAACACGCGACCGATGTGTCAGTAGCGCTTCACGCGCATTCGAGCAACCTTTGCGCCAGCCGAGGCGAGGGGCATCGCGAGTGCACTACCAAGATGTACAGGATTTCACAGTTCGGGAGTTTGAAAGCTACTTGGACAAGTCCTTGCTGACGAAGGCCCGGCACCATCAAAAGACGTGGCTTTTGCATGCTTGTGCCTTTCGATTTATATAGATGTTCCCTGTGTTTGAGAACCTGCTTTGGCCACAAAACTGACGCACTTTGAGGGGAACAGCGTACAATCAACGAAAATCCTTAAGCCCAAGTTGTGCGACCGGTTCCATTTCAGGCTGTTTGGGATGCCACCGAGTTGACCTTTCCGAAGAATGAGTTGATCCGTGGAAAGGTGCGCCAGGAATGTCGCGCGATGCAGGTTCTCGTTGTCTTAGTCAACGGAATTTCCTCCTAAACTTCTGGTGTCAGATTGTCTACGTAGTTAGTTAGTTCCCTGGGCATTTCCAAGTCAGGCACCTGTTGTTTTCGTACACAGCGTACAGTATGTACAGCGTACATGTTGAACAGTGAGGTGTTCAAAGCTGTCCACAACACCTACCACCCCGTCTTGGAGGAGTTTGGCCCTGAGTTGCTTCAGCTCCGCCTCATCTCCGCTCCAGCTCTGCATGCTTGTCCGTCCCGCTCGGCAAAGTCCCGAGTCGCAGACCAAGCAAGGCTCCTAGCAGACCGCAGACCTGCGGATGATGTCGCAAGCTTGGTCAATGGAGGGCCATTTTTGCACAGCCTTCCGATGTGGTGCCAAGTTCGGTGGTCTGGAAGTGGGTTGTTGCATCTGCCAAGTTTGGTGCGGAAGAGACTGGAACATATCTTTTTGGAGACTGGAGTGACTGGAGGCCCGAAAAGTCGAAACCTTCACCAGACGGCCCTGCACTTGGAACATGAGAGGTGACATGTTTGCTGGCTTTCTGGTAAAGGTGATCCAAAACTTCAAAGACCTCCCATTTTGCACTTCCAAACCTATTCAAACCTTGGGTGGGTTCCCAGCTGGTCGCGCGTTTTGCCCAGGTGGATGGAGAGTAGCATGACAAGGGCGTGGTCTGCAATAGAAGATGCCGAGAACGTCCTGCAAGCTCAGTGTCCAGCCTAGTGGGAAACTGAAGCGTAACTTCGTTTTTCGTTATCTCACTTCATGAGATACATGAGTGACAGAAAACCCAAGCAAATTAAGGGGTGTGGAACGGTTTGAAGGTCGCAATTCACACGACCACAGCGGCCGTCAGACTCTCTTTTGCATGGTGGTCTTCGCTTGACGCCGCGCCAAGCTTTGTGCGGGCCTAGGACAGTTGTTCGGCTATTCCAGAACCTCATCGCGCCGTTCGGCGAGGGCCACGAATACACATGGTGCGATGGACTGTTGAAGACCTCAAACTCGTGTGAAGAATGGTGGGAATGACCGTGCGTGGTTTGTTTTGGCTTGACAGAACTCTGACATACCATAGGGCCATTGAAACAGAACCGCAGAACCGCTCGGTTTGTCTCCCTTCAATTCTTGATTCGTGACACCCGACCTTGGGCCCTGCACCCGCGCAGTCGCTCGCTGCACCTTGTGCCAGTATTCCGAGCATGCTCGTGGAGCAGATTGGGAGACCGCCCAGGAATTGGAAGTTTTTGAAGACGTCCCGGGGCCGAGCAGCGGGGAGCGACGCGAAAGGGAGCTGCCGAGAGACGGTGAAAGGGAGATGAATCGACCTGACTCCTTGAGACACCCTGAACCTTCATGAGGAGGACAAATGTGGTTGGCGGCCATCCGCGTTGCCTGGTTGCTGAGGGCGGTTAACAAGATGTTTGAAGACTGGAGGAAGGCCTTTGACTTGGAGTTCTGATGTTCCTTTTTCTCTTTCTGTCAGTTCAACTCCATCAATCTTACTAGACTTTCAGAGTTCAGCTCTCTGCTCCCTGACGGAACTGAACATTTTATCTCTCTTCTAGCTGGTAGGTGCAAGATGCCTCCCAGCCAGCCAAACGAAGGAGAAAAGGCTCGGGCACTGTCACTCACGTCGACCGTCATCGGCAAAGGGCAAGAAGAGAGCGCTTCTGCTTTTGACCGCACCCCAACACCCCTTTACTGGAAGAACTAGATGGTGTTTGAGGTGCCAAGTTCCATGAAGTTTGCTGATGTTGGGACCCTCTCTCACAATCAG